CACACAACTGCTTCTGACTTCGGTGGAATCTGCTCGCTTTCCTCTAGGATCACTCGCTTGCTGCTGTACGGACCATCATACCCAAACCGAAGGGGCACTTCCATGTTGTTATACGTCATAGCCCTGTTCTTCATGTTGATCTGCATACCTTGATCAAGCAAGAAGTCTAATCCAATGATGACTTCATCCATAATCGCCGCGACTATGAACTTGTGTAACACCGTCACATTCCCTATTGCGACTTTGCATGTTACCTCTCCTACAACTTGGGTGTCCTCACCAGTTGCTGTCCTCAACCTTGCTCCAGGTAATGGCCTTACCTCTTTAGTGACCAAATCAGATCGAATGATGGAATGTGATGCGCCCGTATCCACAGTTAGTACTCGCTCATGTCCGTCCACATATCCACCAACAGTAACGTTGCTCGCTTTTCTGCCAATTCGCGAGACGGAGATTATGGGGCATTCAATTGCGGGAGCCAGCGCGCGCCCCTTGCTGCTGGCTCGTTTTAGTTTAACGACTGATTGGAGTTGGATTCGTCTCCTTCAGTCCTGCGTTTGCGTCCTGCTGAATTGTTGAGCGCACTGGAGCTTGCGCTGCAATCGCGGGCGAAGTGACCTGGCTTTCCACATTTAAAACATTTGCCAGAGCCATGCTTTTTCTCACCCAGCAGTTGGATTAGCTTCTTCAGCATTTCCTTTGTCTCGTCCGGTGTCTCCACTTCCACGCGATGTGCTTTGTAGGCTGGTCTACTTAGGAGCGCCGCCGTTTCACGCGTCTGAGCATACGAGACAGTTTCAGCAAATGTTGGCTTTGGATTCGCGTACGTCTCTCGCTTGGTATACACGTCCCGCATTCCGTTGATGAACCTCTGGATTTTTACTCTTTCGAGGTGCTCACCAGATGCATCTCCAATTGCCAAATGAGCCAACCTTTCAACCTCGGAGGCGAATTCCTGTAGAGTCTCGTTGGATTTCTGGCAGCGATTCTCCAGCTCCATCTGGTAAATCTGCCTCCTGTGCTCGCTACCATAACGTCTTTCCACTGCACCCATTAACGCATCGTAACTGTTCCTTTCACAATCAGGAATAGTCTGCAAGATTTCCGCTGCAGGTCCTTTTAATGCAACGAACAGTGCAGCGGATTTATCCTCCATGCTCCAGTGATTTGCTGTAGCTGTCTTCTCAAACTGGAGCTTAAAGACTTGGAAAGGAATCGTGCCGTCAAAGGATGGAGTCTTTACCTTGGGCGCGCTGGTCGAAGAAGGTGGGCGATTCAACTGCATATCTCGGAGGCGACCTTCCAACTCTTCTACCTTGGCCTCGACTTTATCCTGTCTATCCTTGATTTGTTCGTTATCTCTAGCCAAATTCTCCTGCAGTTGTGTAATCTTTGCATCCTGGACTTCCAGCAACTGTGATACGTGTGTCTTCTGTGCCTGTAGCTGCGACGAAATATCTGACAACTGTGTTTGCATCTGAGATGACATCTGTGACATGGCAGCCAATAACGTGTTCATGTCCATAGCTGTTGATGAACTTGGAGACTTTTGCTGTTCTTCAACCTTCCCGGATGTCTGCTGCACATCCTTCGACGAACAAGCAGCCTCATCCTTCTGTTCGTCCTTTGCGGATGCATCGTCGGATTTACCCTGGAAGTCGTATTTGTCCACGTCGATGCCTTCAGCTTCCATAGCCTCTCGCAACCGGGATAACAATTCCACTTTTCTTCCGGAGGTGGCCAAATTACGCTTTTCCAACTCCTGTTTCAGCTCCTCAATCTTTAAGTCCTGAATTTTCGCCATTTTCAGTAGTTTATCCTTCGGGATTTATTTAACAATCCCACTTCTGACACCAATTGTTACGATTATCCTCGAAACCTTGAGGGATTACCCAAATATACTCGGGCTCGTATCGCTGGATTGTTAAATAAATGCTAACGATGACCGAATTGTAGTACAATTAACTTTATTGTACAACAAACAATTTACAATACTTGCTAATACAGTAAAAACACTTTACAATACTTGTTAAAGCAATAACAACGCTTTACTACTTGTTAACACAATTAAACTTATAGCTTGCTTATTCGCAACTCGCTTCTCTGCTTACTTTACTTGTAGCTTGCTGACTTGTAACTCGTAACTAACTCAACTCTGCGGTGGCGGCGCCCTTATATACCTGCGCTGGCACTTATGGCAACTCTAGAACATTCTGAAGTTTATCGCTCATTCTCTTTCTCTAGCTGTTCGCAGTGTTCATCCAACTTGACGTTTCTCTTTGTGGAACATTCTACGTCATTCTTCGAACATTCTGCCTATTTCTCGTTGTTCGCTTTGTGTTGCCGCAGTATTCGCCACAATAGTTTTGCACAGCTACGCTTGTCTACATCAAATCGACACTCTAGTGTCGTGTGGGTGCACGACAAATATTGAGGTGGTCGATAGGTATAAATACTTAGGAGTCATAGTAGACAAAAACTTAAAATGGAATGAGCATACTACAGAGTTGCAAAAGAAAATCAGGAGATCAACATTTATGCTTAGACATCTCAGCTACTGTTCAGATTAAGGAGTTCTAAGACAGGCATGTCACTCGCTAACGGAGTCCTACTTGCGTCACGGCATCACAGCATGGGGAACATCATCGGGATGTACGAAACTACAGCAGAGCCAAAACTATGTGCTTAAAATATTAGCGAAGAAAATAAATACCCCAACCGACGCTCCTCTTGCAAAAAAAGTAAAAATACTCGATGTTAAATCCATATTCAAGTGTGCAGTGCTAAATGAGTTTTTCGATGATGGGCGCTTTAGGAACCAAATTGACCATGAGAACAAAACACGTAGGCGACAAGAAGGACGCTTCAGAATCCCAAAGTTCATAAATAACTATGCCAAAAATACACTAAACGTCGTAACGCCAACTCTGCTGAATGAAATGCCACCGCAATATATAAATCTGCCGGAAAATGCAAACAGAAAAAAGTTAATAAAATATCACCTCTTATATTCTTAGACATAAGCCGCATTGTAATCGTATCTTTTTTACATATCATTTTAAATGTTGTAGCACTGCCATTAGTATCCTGAAGAGAGTATTAGTTAAATCAATATTAAGAATTCGTACCCGCAGACAAGCTTGCTAAGCTTCGCGGGTTTTTTCCAGTCTATACAACCTTAAATGTAACCTCATCTGAATAAAGAATTTATTGAATTGAATTGAATTGAATCGAATTGAATTGAATTGCATGTATGTGTCTAAGATCCGTTTAGTCTCATGTCTGTTTTATCGTTTCGTCGCCACACCCATTTCCCCTCTGTTGCACTAGTGCAACACCACATACCAATAATCTGAACTTAGCCGCTCATATTTGCGTATGGTAAACCCTCACCAAAATTTCAAACTCATATTTTCTTTCTGCTTCAATTAGCAATTACAAAGATTCCCTTTATTTACTCCTAATATGTGTTTCACAATTTCAAAAAAAAACGCTATTTAAATCTGTCAATTCGTACGGAATTTCATTCACTACTCACGCCGCGCAATGATTCGCATGAAGAGCGATCGGACAAATCCAAGCAAAAAAATTTAAAAATTAATTATTCATAAAAACCCGTGGCGAGCAGCTATTACACTAACTATTATTACAGTTCAATTTTCTTTACAGGAAAACTATGCGGAATAAACAAAGTGAATATCGGTGAGAACTTACGAAAATAAAATAAAAACTAACCTTAAGGTAAGGCTACTAACAACAACGAAAATTCATAAAGACTGCTGGCGTAAACGAAATCACGCAAAGGAAAAAGCAGTCATTCGCCAAGTGAATCTACCAACTCAAAATTCTAATGCAGAACTATATAAAAAAAATTCATATATTAAAAACTAAAAAACTCATAACCCTAAGTGCAAATAAAAAGAATAAGAACAAAAAAATGAAAGTGAGCTTATATCCGCCACTCATGAGTCTCGGCTCTCCTAGCCAGATGTTCAAAACATGCGGTGAGGGCGCTGAATAATGATCGCCGCTGAAGAGCTCTATGACGGAGCCACGATTTTCCCGCGACGTCTGGTGCTCTGGATGCGTGTTATATGTTCAGGTTTAAACGCGATTTTATTGCTTAAACTTAGTCTTTATTCAAGAATTTTCTAGAATACTTATCCTCCACGTGTGTGTCGATTCGCTGCCAGGTATGGAATAGGCCGAATGTAAGAACAAATGTAAGAACGAACCGAAGAGCGAATGCGAGAATGACTTAATGTCAAAAACAAGTGTTTGTTAACGCTAATGAAATAAATGGAATGATTTATTGTTGTACAGCGAACATTATAATACACAATTTAAAGTTATTACAATTCAAATGTAAAGTAGCAAAATTATGAAAATGATAATTTTAGAAATTAGTTATGTTGGTACGCCACATTACTTCCCTCTTAGAAGCCTGGTACGGTAGCAGCAAAAGCGGGCTTGAGTCTATCGATGGTGGAATTTGTAGACGTACCCATTGGTCGTGGTCTAGTGATATCCACAAACTATTGAAAAATATCCGCGAAATTCGATTGCGCGTTGATAGTTTTTATACTCATTGCAAGCGTTCTGTGAATGGCGCAAACTGATTTTAATTCGGTCTGGCTATCCCGTAAGCATCTTTGCTTGAGCTCGACTAAAATTCCGAAATTACTCAAAAAATCTGCGCCGATGATGGCATGGGAAACGTCGGCAATCAAAAAATTCCAAACGAATTCGCGGCGTAATTCTAAATTTAATTTTAAAAGGACTTCACCATATACCTTAATAGGTGAACCGTTCGCGGCAAACAATTTCAACCCGGTGTAGTAGACTCCAGCTGCCTTCGTGTTTGACGGTACTACTGACACATCAGCGCCAGTATCAATAAGAAAATTAATTTTCGACGATGAGTCAAAGATACGAAGCCGGTAGTTGTTGGCGACCTCAGGTTGTTTGCCGGAACCTGAAATGGCTGCAGCTGTGCAGCCTTATTGAGATGATGGCTTTTGGGCAAAAGCGCATGGCTCACGACACTTCGTTGCTTTTTCGGCAAATGTTCGGTGGTACCAACAAAAATTTTCCGAAGAAGCGTGTTTGTCGTTGTGTCGTACTTTCTTTGTTCTTGAAGGTGACCTTGAACGAAGGTGGCGATCCTTCAAGCTTAAATGCTTTTGCACACTGCGGGTTAGCTCGGCGATCTCACTTTTGAGGTTTGAAATGTCGCTATGTGTAGACACAACGTCCACATGACCGTTTTGCCAACCAATGGATTCCACGGTGGAATCAGCAGTTTTAGCTTTTTCGTCGAGAGGCACTTTTGCTGCAGTTACAGCTCCTTGTACATAGGGTGGGAGACGCGTTACCCACAAGTCATGCAACAAGCTGTCGTTAAGTGTGGTACCAGCAACATGCTTCATCTCACTAAAAATCTCGGTTGGTTTGCGGTCACCGAGTGGCATATCTTTGAGCACCTTTTGCAAGCGCCGTTGCTGACTATCTATGAAGTGGTCAGTCACCTTCTGCTTTATGTACTTGAATTTGTCGATTGGAGGTGCTGCCTCGATGATTGGCCTAAGCTCAAGGAGTTTATTTGGCGGGAGGCTCGCCAATACGATGTGGAATTTTCTGGTGTCGGAATATACAAGCGAGGCCTGAAACCCGAATTCCAAGGCATGGAAGTAGGCCTCGATGTTCTCCTCACTCATTTGCGGCAGCGGAATTCGTGGGACTGTGCTATAATTTTCGGTGAGCGAACCTTCGCCACCGCTGTTGCCAATTGCCATGCTGTCGTTCAAAGGCATGGTGCGTGAGAAGTTCGAATGAGAGGGCTTTTGTAAATTTGCGATTGTACAGGCTCTTGCAAACGAATTATCGCGTATACTAAAAAAACGTTTTTACAAGCGGGTGAGAGGGTTCCTGCAACGTGCAGACTCTTGCAGTCTGTTCCGCCAAAGGTTTGTGATAGCAGGATCCAGAAGGTGTGGCTATCCAAGCGCCACGAAAAGTTTGGTTATTTGGCTCCTTTTACTGTACGCCGGTGCAGGTACTTGGAAATGACGAGCGGCTTCTCTAAACGTGCTGGTTCATCCAAATGTGCGGGTTTATCAAAACGTGCGGGTTATCAAAACGTGCGGGGTCACCAACTTAGGTTTAAACGCGATTTTATTGCTTAAACTTAGTCTTTATTCAAGAATTTTCTAGAATACTTATCCTCCACGTGTGTGTCGATTCGCTGCCAGGTATGGAATAGGCCGAATGTAAGAACAAATGTAAGAACGAACCGAAGAGCGAATGCGAGAATGATTTAATGTCAAAAACAAGTGTTTGTTAACGCCAATGAAATAAATGGAATGATTTAGTGTTGTACAGCGAACATTATAACACACAATTTAAAGTTATTACAATTCAAATGTAAAGTAGCAAGATTATGAAAATGATAATTTTAGAAATTATTTATGTTGGTACGCCACATATGTATCACACATACATACTTCTTCATGTATCATACCTTCTCCACTTGGAATGTTCGCACTGCTCTCTATGTCTATATGTATTTCTCTTATCGCCTTCTTCCGCCTCTATGTACTTAAAAAAAGTGTTTCGCAGATTCGTATGTTTCAGGTCGTTGACCCCCTTATACGTTTCTTTTCGTTATGTACAATCGTATGTACATAAGTAGCCGCGCTAGGCGCTTTAGTATATAGAGGCCCTAATCACACCCCTGCCTGGCGAGGACCTAAAACATTAATTAATTGGGCCTTAGTTCGTCTGTATATACATATATAATTTCATATGTTTTTATTTTATATCTTTTTATATTTATATTTATTTATTTATTATTATTTTGTTTTGTGTTTTATTAGTTTTCTACCCATATACATTTACATGCATATATACCTATGTGTGTACGCTTGTCTATGCTTACAAACATTCACACACATGTATCGACATCTGCAGTACATTATTTACTTTTACTTTCATTTGACTGCAGTAGAATTTAGGTTGGTTTACATTTATTTAATTTTTGAAAGTTTTATTTAAATTTAATTCATTCAGTTCTTTTTTATTTGTTATTTTTAATTCATTTTATTTTACTTAATTTTTTTTGTTTATTCTATTTTTTTTTTTTTTTTTGTAACATCAGTTTATTTGACCTTAATTATTTTTAACCGAATATAGTTCAAAAGTTCTTTTAGGTTAAAGTATCACGGTTTTCAGTTTATTTTAATTTAATACTTATTGCATTTAAGCCACTTCATTATTGGTTTAAAAAGAGCGGGAAGAGATTCTCTATACTGGACTCACCTCTATCTACCAGGATTTGGAGGGTTGAATTTAAATAAAAAACAGTTCTTTCCGCTTTAACGGATTAACATAATTATTTAAGCAACAACACTAACTTTTTTGGTATTTTCGTATTTTTATACCTTTCATGAGCATGAAATGGTATTATAACTTTGGTCCGATGTTTGTAAGTACCAGAATAAAAAGAGATAGGCCAATTAAAATGTATACTTATATGATCAGAACGTCGAGCTGAGTCGATTGAGCCATGTCCGTCTGTCCGTCTGTCTGTCTGTCTGTCTGTCTGTCCGTCTGTTTGTATGCAATCTAGTCTCTCAGTTTTCAAGATATCCTGATGAAATTTGGTAAGCCACTTTATTATTGGTTTAAAAAGAGCGGGAAGAGATTCTCTATACTGGACTCACCTCTATCTACCAGGATTTGCAGCGTTGAATTTAAATAAAAAACAGTTCTTTCCGCTTTAACGGATTAACATAATTATTTAAGCAACAACACTAACTTTTTTGGTATTTTCGTATTTTTATACCTTTCATGAGCATGAAATGGTATTATAACTTTGGTCCGATGTTTGTAAGTA